TCCAGTACGGGCGCAACACTGAGGGTTGCAGTCCGTTGCCGGACACGAAAAAAGACAAAAAGGAAAAAAAAAAAAAGATAAAGGTAACTACTTAGGAAAACTAAAAGTAGTAAGACAAATAGAGCAGCAGAGAGAGGAAGTAGGATATTAGAAGAAGATAGTACACATGACTATTGCTTGTATTTCACAGTGGAAGTTCATACATACAGTTGAGTTGGAAGAATCAGCATAAAGGGAGGTAAGTGTGTCAGTCATGATGGTAACCACCAGAAAAACTCAAAGCAAATCCAACGTTGGTTATATCTGAGAAGTGGGATAACGAAGTCCCGAGGTTGATGCAGACGGCTAAATGATTTTATTCCATTCTGTTCCTTTGCATTTTTATAAGCCATGTACTATACTGTTTCTATAATAAGAACAAGTTTAATTAGCAATATAAATCCATACATTTTCAGGGAAAAAAAGCAAATTGGATTTGCTGAATTCCGAGTTTCCCTGTACATTCATACCAAAACTCTGTAAATAACTGTTGCTCATTTTAATCTTAAATTCCAAAGAATTTCATGAAGTATTTTTATGTAATTAACTATTGCTCTATAACATAAATAACAGTGGCATTTACCTGGAAAAATGTACACATTGTTTCCTTGACCTGGCGTAAAGACTCGCCCATCTCTGAGTTCCACAGGCTCAAAAGGACTGCCACTGGCAAACAGACACCTTCCCTGTCAATGGAATAAAACGACTTCAGTCTTGTTACATTTTGGAAATGAGAAAATAGAGATGAATTCATACAAAGTCAAATCCTGTAATAAAGTAGATATATATGCTGGAAACAAGGCATAACTTACTAAATAATTCTTTCATTAAATCCTTTTATTAGAGTGAGGCTCATTTTATGCACAATGTATACTCAAATAAAATTGAAAAATATCCATTAATAAACATAAAAAACCCAGGCACTTCTAATTCCTTTAAAAAATGTAACATGTATATGGCCAATAAATACCATCCCAAATAATAAAGATTGACGTAAAAACCTGTGAATGAAGGGGGGACACACCACCATTTACTGTAAATGTGCTGTTTTTGGTTCTATACCAGGTTCTTTATATTTTCAAGTACTTTGTAAAAAGTCACATATCAAAACTGTAGCAGTTACTCGAATCCAGACTTTTTCTAACTCCAAAGTCCACGGTCTTTCTATCATGCCATAACATACCCCAGGAGGCAGTTGATAAAACAGGTACATGGTATAACAACACTATCATTCCAGGAAAAAATGGCATGTTGCTTCGTTAAAGAAAGATAAGTCTACAAGTTTGATGTACTCATCCAACTTTAGTACTATGCTCTATAATGACAGATATACTCATACATATTACTGGCACATTCAGTATTTCTAAGAGAATTAGATACCCATGCAATTGAAAAGGACCAGAAAGTTAATTTATAAAATAAGATCCTTTATATATCATTTTCCCCCCACAAGTTCTCCCCTAATCCCCCTTCTCAAAAAGACAAAGAGCAAGAAGAAAACAACAGTGCTCAAACAGGGTGACTTTTCTTGGAATACTCAAGGAATAACTGAAATTAATCATGTTTAAACAGCCACTTGGGTTAAGCTAAAAGATGACTGACAGAAAACTGAAAAATCTCCACACAATAGGATGGACAAGCTGCCAAGATAGCAGAACACTTGATGGAGTTAATGTAAGTGTTTAGACACTGCTTTGTCTTCTTTTCCCCAGATCTAAAAATGTAAATGTATATTTTACTGCTGTGGATGGAATTGTGTCCCCCACAGTCCATGTATTAGAAACTTAGTCCCCACTGCACAGTGTTAAGAGGGTGGGACATCCTATTATGGTAATTAAAAGGTGGGACGTTGATGAGGTGATTAGATTGTGAGGACCATGCCCAAGTAAATGGACTAAGTTAATGATTTAGTGGTCGTCATAGGCATGGTTCTGAGGGCTTTAAAAGGAGGAGTGAGGAATTAGCTCTCTCTGATTCTGCCATCTGCTTTGTGACACCCTGCTTTGCTGTGAAGAGTCACTACCCACCAACAAGGCTCTCATCAGATGTGTTCCTTGGACTTTTGATTTCCAAGCCTCTGAAACTGTAAGAAATAAATTTTATTTTCTTTATAAATTACCCAGTTCCAGGTATTTATGTTACAAGCATCAGAAAGAGTTTAAGACACAAAGTTGGTACCAGAGAAGTAGGGTGTTGCTTATAGCAAATACTTGAAAACGTGGAAGTGGCTTTGGAACTGGATATTGGCCAGAGGCTGGAAAAATTTGGAGGAACAGGCTAGGAAAAGCCTAGATGCTGGTGAGGAGAGTAGAGAACATCTTAGAGACTGGTTAAATGGTGGTGCCTAGAATGCTTATAGATGTATGAATTATAAGGACCATTCTAAGGAGTTTTCAGATAGAAATGAGAAGGAGCTTATTGGAAACTGGGGCAAAGATCCTCCCTTGCTATGAACTTGCAAAGAACTTGGCTGCATTCTGTTCATGCCCAAGAGTTTTATGAAATGAGGAACTTCAAGGTGCTGACTCAGGGTATTTGGCAGAAGAAGTTTCTAAGCAGCAAAGCATTCAGAAAGCTGCATGGCTACTTGGAACAGCTTACACTGAGTTACAGCAGCAAAGACATGAGGTAAAGGCAGAAGTTATAGGTAACAAGGAAGCAGAGAGTGAAAAACTGTAAAAAACTCAGCCTGGCCATGTAAAGAGTGAAAAGGTGTCTTCAAGAAAGGAAACCAATGGTGTAGCCCAGCAACCCTTTGCTAAGAAATTATTACAAAAGAAAGGAATTATCAAGAGAAGCAAAAAAAGACCTAGAAGGCATTAAGAGATCTTCAAGGCTGCCCCTTCCATCACAGGCCCAGAGGCCTAGAGAGACAGAACGGTCTTGGGGAACAGGCTCCAGGCACCCTCCATGGGCTTGCTTCCCAAGGCCACATCAGGAAGCTGCTTCCAGCACCAGCACCCCGGCTACTCCAGCTGTAGCTAAATTGGCCCTAGGTGTGGCTGGACCTGCAGTTTCGAAGGATACAAGCCGGGGTCCTTGGTGGTGTCCACGCACTGTAAGTCTGCGGTCTTGCAGAATGCAGAGCTGTGAAGGCTTGGGAGCCTCCGCCCTGATTTCAAAATACCCGGTTTTGGGTATTTCTGTTATAAGCAACAGGAACAGCCTAATACATATAACAAGAATGATTATTCTTTAAAGTACAGTAGAACCTTGGCATTAGTGGATTCAATACTCAAGAACTTGACTCTGAGCAATCTAAAGGTCTACAATGTACAGTAAGTATTGTAAGTATAGAAGCAAGTTAAGTACACTGATGATGACCCAAGCTGATCCTCTTAGAACTACAATTCCACACGCTATATGAGGATACTTCAGAAAGTTTGTGGAAAAATAGAATTGAAAGATAATATGAATCTTTTCATGAACTTTTGAAATACCCTCATATAATTTTCTATTTATTGTGCAGATAGCTACTAAAATTCTCTATCTATTCTACACATAGCTCTACTTGTGACAAAAAAAGTTTGACGTACATAATAAAATAGATTTTTTTTGTGGTGCCATTAACTTTAATAGTCTTACAGAGTGGATTATACACTATGGCACTTCACAGGAAAAATGTTACATACTCATGTAATCAGTAATTTTTGAGATTTAGAAAGATCTCGGGAATCTCCTCTACAATGGCAAGATTCTACAGCAGTTCACCTTCTCCAGGCCATCTTCCCTTCCCGCCCCCACCATAATCAATCTATAGTGTAACTGTGGCCAGATCTTTATGCTAACAGTATTCTCATTCTGAAGTCCAAGTTGGCCTTTTTGAGCAACTGGCCATTAAAATATGAAGACTTTTGAAAAAAGTATTTTTCTCATTGAGCAGCAGAGGGTGTTAGAGTAACACCAAGACATCTCTCCGCTGAAAACCAAAGGAGATTGAAACTTGGAGAGGTGACTGCAACTATACAAAAATGTATGCTATTCTTTTATATAACGTTTCAGGAAGAATTTATGTAAAATTAAACTATGACACAATGCTTTTTTATTTTTGTGAGAAATAGCACAACTTCAAAGTTATAAAAATAGTGAATAAATCTGCATTTTAAAACTGATGATATACAGTACATCAAACTAGACTCCTTAGGAAGTTTTTACTCATTCCAATAATGTACAATTCAATTATTACAATAAAATTCATTTCAAAAGTAAAATTCTTAAATGTTTGAGCAATCTTCTGGTGATGTACTGCTCAAAACATTTAAATTTCTTATATTTTGGAAATGCCAAAGCCCACGACACACTGAATATATTTACCAAATAGTCATTGTGTAAGTCTAACATTTAATCTTTTGGACAATAACCATTGTTTTAAATAGTAAAGCCTGATGAACAGGGTGCTAAAAATCAAGCTAAAAGTTATATTTTGGTAAAAAAAAGGTAAGAAAATATACTAAAGAGACTGATCTTTTCTTTTTCATATCTATATGCTGATTTTTTTTATTTTTAAAGAAAAGACTTCAATAAGTACTAAAGGTTTCAGTAATTATTATATCCATTTGAAACCAACAGTCAAAAGACTATTTTGACAAACACAGAGTGACAATATAAAAGCCAGAGGAGTTGTGAGAGAATATCTGTGTCAACATAAGATTTTCAACAATGAGAAAAAAAATGGTAAATATATCAAGAACATGAATATTAAGTTCAGAAAGTTCTGAGAGAGAGTTCTGCTTTGGCAATGGTCTCCTAGGTTGTTCCAAACCAATTTCCCTCTGGCTATAATAGGGAAAACAAAAGTTGTAAAAAAATTTTAAGGAAGCAGAGTGCTACCAAGATAGTGAGTCCGGTGTTGGGGGAGGGAGGTCTCCAAGATGCAAAAGAAGAGGAAAGCAAGATATGTGAGCCCAGCATTTGAAACTTTTCCTCTCAATGTGACTGCTGATCTCAAAAGCAGAAGCTGTGGCTGAGACCCTGAGCAGCAGAGCTACAGGGGTTTCATGATGACAGAGAGAAAAATTGAAGTTCAGGGACCACTATGGATGAGGGGTGCTGGTAAATACCCCAGGGATTCTGACTCATACCCAAAGGGGTGCACATCAGAATGGGCTAACTGGAAATAGACAGAGCCTCACATGGACTGTGTCCTGATTGGATTATGGTGATCTACTCCAGCCTAACAGCCACCAGAAATAGTAAAGCCCCTCTGCAGGAAGATAAATTCATCCACAGCCTCAAGTTATTGCTACAATTTTTCATCCACACTATCCAGCACTTAATTAAAAAAAAAAAAAAGAAACAAAAACCAAGCTTACAAAAGATAAGAACTGATAAACAAGAGGAAAAAAGACAGATACTAAAAATGGACTCACAGAGAGGAGATATTTACTACCAGAAACTTAAATTATAACTCATATTCAAGAAATTAAATGACAAGATAGAAAAGCTCAGCAGAAAATTGCAAGCTATACAAAAGGATCAAACAAGTATTTAAAAATTATTACTAAAATTATGAGGTATAATAGTATTGTGATTACATTTTTAAAAGAATCCTTAACTTTTGAGAGATATGCTATATTTATAATGAAATCATATGATACCTGAGATCTCCTTCAAAATGATCTGGGGTCGGTGGGATGTAGAAGAAAGAAAATGAGCAATGAGGTGATTTATTTTTGAAGCTAGGAATTGGTATGTGGGAGCTGAGTAAGCTATTCTACTTTTATAAATGTTTGAAATTTTCTGTAATAAAAACCCTTTTTTTAATGGAATGGAGGCAAAAAAATTTATCACAGATTTATTACTTACTCTCAAGGGCACAACCTAACAATTATAACAGCTGGATACTACTATAAATAAACTTTTAAAAATCACTTCCTAGATCCACTTTAAAGATCAGTCATAAGAACAAGAATACAGAAAGTGATTACATTGTGGCAATTACAACTACATCCCTACAGAACAGGAGGAAAAAAACAACTGTCCTAATGGTATATAAGCAAGTTTTTATAACTGGAGGTAACAGCAGTGTCAAAGAATCCAAAAGCTCCAAATCTTAAACAATGTGGATGAAAGTAAAAATTTGTTCCAGATAGCTGTCAGATGACTCGAAAAAATGGCCTTAGTAAAGACAAACACTGATGGTAAAGACGCATTTGAAGAGTGTAAAAAAAATTGTTTCATGAAATGTGAGGGCAAGAAAGCAGTATTTATAAACTGATTATTTCTATAATATGTGATTTTAAGTCAGTAACTAAATTAATAAATTAGAATAATTAGAATCAAATAGAAATTCTACAAATAAAAAATACATGATAACTAAAATTAAGAACCTATCAATAGATCAGCAAAACTGATAAAATAATTTCCAAAGTGGAAGACAGGTCCAAAAAAAATCGCCAGACTGAAACACAGAGAGCAAAAAGTATAACAGTGTAAGAGGGGCTGGCCTGGTGGCGCACTGGAGAGTGCGCCGCTTGGGAGCGCGGCGGCGCTCCCACCGAGGGTTCGGATCCCATGTGGAGACCGGTTCCTGCTCACTGGCTGAGCGCGGTGCGGGCGCAACACCGAGGGTTGCGATCCCGTTACCAGTCAGTAAAAAAGACAAAAAGGAAAAAAATTAAAAAAAAATAAAAAATAAAAGTTTGCTTATTTATGGGCCGGCCTGGTGGCGCACTGGAGAGTGCGCCGCTTGGGAGCGCGGCGGCGCTCCCACCGAGGGTTCGGATCCCATGTGGAGACCGGTTCCTGCTCACTGGCTGAGCGCGGTGCGGGCGCAACACTGAGGGTTGCGATCCCGTTGCCGGTCCCCA